AGATTATATGGGTCTCTTGGTCTTTTTCTGTGCTTTGGAAGCGTTGTACATCTGTTCCTTCAATATTCTAAATAGCTCACCTATAAAACTGCTGGGCCTGCAACCTTCTTTTGAAAGTATTTTTATAGAAATGCCAATGTATTCTGTAATTATTGAAGTTTTTGATAATTTACAGTTTTCCAGAAAATTCCAGATCATTGAGATTTTAAGAGCATTAGCATAATTATATATATATATATTACTCTTTTTGTAATTATATCCTTTGTCGTGTAGCTTGTATTTTGTATGTTTTTATTTCATTAGAGTCACCAGATTTCTGAAGTGTATTTTTCAAATCAAGTCACACTTACTTGTCAGCTCTGTTTTTCGTAGAGCTGCGTTAAGTTTGGCTTTATCTATTTTATTCTATTGGGGTTGCTTTTTCCTCCTTCCCTAATTTATTGAATTGAATACTTAAATTATATGTGGTGTAGCTCTCCTTTTCTATGCACAATGCATTTAATACTATGAATCTGCCTTGGAGAATGGCTTTATTCTTACCAGGTTTTTACTTTCATTACTTTCCAAATATTCTGTGAATGTATTTTATTCCTTTATGTTCCAAGCGCTAAGAAGAATTTTTTTTAATTTAATTTTTTAAATCAGAAAACATGATCTGTGAAATTCATGTTTTTGGGGCACACTAGGATGTTTATGGCTGAAGTCCATGGATGCTCGAAAATAAGGTGAATTCTTCACTTGTGTGTACAACGCTAGACATTTTATTGATATTATTACTCAGAGAGTCTTTGCCTTTTATTAGATTACTAGAGGCCCGGTGCACGAATTTGTGCTCCAGTGGGGTCCCTCGGCCTGGCCTGCGCCCTCTCGCAATCCGGGACCCCTCGGAGGATCTCAGATTGCCAGTTTCGGCCCGATCCCTGCAGGCCAGGCCAAGGGACCCCACCGGTGCACAAATCCGTGCACCAAGCCTCTAGTATGCATATAAGATCTTTGGTTAATCTCTTCCCGCCCCCCTTCCCTCTGAGATTCATCAGTCTGTTTCATGTTTCCATGCCTGTGCACTGAGTGTCTGCCCCCTGGTGGTCAGTGTGTGTCATAGCTACTGGTCGAACGGTCAAACGGTTGAACGGTCGCTTAGGCTTTCATATATATAGATCTCACCCATGTACAGTGGGTTCTCTCTGTCCTCTTATTTTACGCTTTCTGCTTCTTAGCTTGCTTATTATCCTTCGCACCCATTTCCTGCTGTCTGTCTGAAGCACTGCTCTTTGGCCTGTTCTGGTGGAGAGAGGAAGGCACGTTTGGGGTGATGTATTTGTTGACTCCCTCGAGTGTGGCGATGGCTGAACAGGTGTGCATCTATGTCTAACGGATGAAATTGTACGCTGGAATATGTGCAGTTTGTTGTATGTCTATTATGCCTCAGAAATCTGTTTTAAAAATGCCTGCCACACTATTCGAAAGAATTTGAGTAGGGCCTCAGCTGCCCTCCCTAGCAGTGGCCCAGCTTTGTGCGAACATCACGGGTGTATGCATCTCCCTCTTTCTTACACAGCTCCTTCATCGAATATATCTTGGCGTGTATTTTAGTTCTACTAGTGATCTCTGTGCAGAGCCAGCAAGGCCATGGGTGAGGCTGAGAGGGGGCGGTGAAGGATTTAGAAAAGACAGACATGAGAATAAAGCTGGGGCTAGGTGGGACGCTGCTTCTCTGATGAAGGGACAGCACCACAGCCCACAAGCCGAGTCTTTATTTTATAGCCAGATTCCATGAGGCAAAGTAAGGCAGTGGTCAAGATGTTTACAATGTTCTCACGGGCTCTGAATCTACTCAGTTACATGCACCTGATCAAGGTTTGTTTACTTGCTGCATCTCCCGCAGCCCATATATCACTTAGCCACGTGGGACCACAGGTTCAAGCTTACAACTATAGCCTTTGGCTGTAATTGTGCTGGGACTTGCACGTGGCTTTGCCGCTAGAGGATCGTGCCCTCTCGTTAGTCCCAGGCTTGAACCTGTCCAAACGCTGTTGCCGCTCTCCACAATCTCCTTTAAGATCATCAACTGCACACTGGGGCCTACATTTCCATACTTGCCAAAATCAAGAACCATATCATAAGGCCTGACCAATTGCCATGTGTTTGTAGTAACTTGTCATGCTTTCCTGCCCCTGCCCCTACCCCCACCAGGTCTTCGTTATTTCAATTCAGGATTATAAATCCAGCCTTTTCCAATTTTTTTAATTTTATCAATCTTTTTCTTATGAACTTTGGGGTGTTCTGTTTCCCTGTTTATAGCAGCCTCTATGCCTCCACCTACCTCTCTGTCTGGCTCCCACGCTGCCCGCCAGCCCCTGTACGCTGCGACTTTCCCGCCTCGAGGTCTTCATTTTGTTCCAGGAGGTAACATGAGCCATAATTTCCCTCGTCTTGCCTATCCAAGGAGACCTCCGTGCAGCCTTCACTCATGAATGACTCATGGCTGGTGGGTAACTCTTGGCCCACAAACGTGCCCCTCAAAATCCTGAAGGGACCCTTTATTTCCTCCTGATTGTCGTCCTCAGAGGAGGCCTCTGGGGCGAGCCCGTTTTCCCCCTCTTTTGGGGCCACCTGTTTTTAATACCCTTTTGCTCAGGGAAGAAAAAGTGGGAAACACAAAGAAAAATAACGGATCGCCTATAATCACCCCGAACACAGGTGAGATGTACCACTTGGGGGTCCACCTTTTTTGACCTGCTTTTTCCCTGCCAGAGACACAACCAGGTGCACAAGCCGAACTGAGGGCGAGACCTACTGACGGGGACGTGCAGGCAGCATTCGGGGAACCCTTCTCAGCTACTTGGAAGAGCAGTGGCAAGTCCATCTGCTTCCCAATGCACTTGCTATTCGTAGGGCATCACCTGCCCCTTGAGCTCATGAAATTAAGCAAACATCTAAAGCAGCGGTTCTCAACCTGTGGGTCGCGACCCCTTTGGCGGTTGAACGACCCTTTCACAGGGGTCGCCTAAGACCATCCTGCATATCAGATATTTACATGACGATTCATAACAGTCGCAACATTACAGTTATGAAGTAGCAACGAAAATAATTTTATGGTTGGGTCACAACATGAGGAACTGTATTTAAAGGGCCAGAAGGTTGAGAACCACTGGTCTAAAGAATAACCTTGATTACTGACCTGTATGGGACGACCTCACGCCTCCCTGTTGAGGAAAAAGGGAATCTGTCCCTTCATGGGTGGTATCCGTGGCTGAAGTCGGAAACCGGGGTCTCTTGTCACCTCCTCCCCCGTGACCACCCTGGCGTGATGATCGGGGTGAAGTCCTGTCCTTGAGTCTCTCCCTCTCCTCTCCCGCTGCCCCTGTCCTAGATGAGGTCACCCCCTCTCTCACAGGGACCACTGCCTTGTCTCCTCCACTTTGCTCTTCTCCCTCTCACCCTGGGTACATCACGTGCCTCCCGGCTCCCGGATGCTTCACCTGAGTCCTTAGGTCTTTCCACCTCCTGTGTTCGCCCTTCTTCCAGAACGTTCTTACCTTCCACGACCATCTCCTCCTCATCGCCTCCTCTCTGTAGCCCTAATTATTCCCAGAGCAAATTCCTCCATCCAGTTCAGTGTTATGTCTACACCTACGTCAAAGACCACCTCCTCCAGGAAGCCTTCTCTGACTTCCTCTAAACTCCCCAGCACCGTCTCTATCTTTCTCTGTAACACCTGCTACTTTGGAGGATGGCTTTAAAAGGTGTTTCCCAGGGGCCAGTATAATTTACAAACCAAAGCTCCGTGTGAGCGACCTGTGTGGAACATATGTTCTTTGGGAGGGAAATAAAATAGTTAATGAATCTGGAACTTTTCTGGAAATCTAAGATATGTGTTGCTAGATTGCTCTTCCCCCACTAAGAGAATGCATAGCAAAAAGGAGCCAGGCAGCCCTGCCACCTATGTACTCCCTGGGCAAGCCACCTGCCCTTTGGGCCTCGAGTGTACTATGTGTGAAGTGAGGGAAATAATGTTGCTGTGGGTGGGCGGCGGGGGGGGGGGGGGGGGGGGGGAGGGGGCGCACCTGGTAGGAGAGTGAGGAGTGGGAGTTAACGTGGTTATGATAAATGAAAGTGGGCTTCAGAAATGACAGAATCTGTCACTGCTTGATAAGAAATCCCTTGTGGTTGGCTCGGTGGGTGCCTCCTCCCCGAGTCCCTCCGTGCCCAATGTCCCCGACATGGGAGACTACCCAAGGCCTGAGAATTCCTGTTGTCACCATGTAGCCATCTCCCCTCCCCGGGAGACAGATGGGATTAACAGATTGTAACTATTGTCTCTTGTTCTTCAGCAAGGTACACCAGGATCTGCGTGTCCCCTCGGGCCGCCGCGGGAAGGGAACGTGCGAGGTCCGCAAATACCCTCCGAGTTCTGCTTTGTTTAGAAACCAAGCTTGCTTGGGGTATCAGTGCTCAACCACGTGTGCCTGGGAACCCAAAATAACGGTGACTCAGGCGCAAGAGAAATCTATTTCTCCTTCACATTAAAGAAATCCCGGCGTAGGAAATACGGGACTGGTGTGGGGGACACAGGGACATCAGGAACCTGGGCCCATCCTAGCTTATTGCTGCCCCATGGGACCCTCACAACCTAAGACGGCTGCTGGAGTTCCAGCCATCACACCCATGCTCCAGGCAGCAGGACACAGGAAAGATTAAAGAAGGGTGTGCAGCCCTGGTTGCTGTTGCTCAGTGGTTAGAGAATCGGCCCTCACACCAAAGGGTTGCCAGTTCGATTCCCGATCAAGGGCATGTAACTGGGTTGCAGGTTCAATCCCGGGTTGGGGCATGTGCAGGAGGCAACCAATCGATGTCCCTCTCTCACATGGATGTCTCTCTCCTCCTCCTCCTCCTCCTCCTCCTCCTCCTCCTCCTCCTCCTCCTCCTCCTCCTCCTCTTCCTCCTCCTCCTTCTCCTCCTCCCCCTCCCTTCTTCCCTTCCAGTCTCTCTAAATATCAATGGAAAACCCACCCTCAGGTAAGGATTAACAAAAGAAGGGTGTGCTTCTAAGTTTTGAAGATGAATTCCTGGAAGTCCCACAGGACACTTCTGCTTAAACTTCTCATCAAGCATTGGCCATAAAGGATTCGCTTAGCTGCAAGGGAAGCGGGCAGGCAGTCTCCGGGTGGGTAGCAATGTCAGAGCTAAAAACCAAGGTACCAGCTAAGGTCAGCTGGCAGAAGGTCCCAGGGGCTCCGGAAGGGGAGCACCCGGGAACCTGTGCCCTGAACCTGGATCCGTCTCCAGCCCCCATTTCTCCTCTCTGTGCCCTGTTACCTCACCAGCAAAACGAAACGGAAAACCCCAGCCCCGGCGACCTCACGGGATCATTGCAGAATGCCTTGCCAGCTGTCAGACACTGAGCACCATGCACAGTGGGCATTTTTAAAGTCTAGTTTTAGTTCATCGGATGGAGAATGGAGAGACGTAGACCCCGGTGTCAGGGTCTTGGGGAGCCCCTTCTCTCTGGCCTCCGTTCCTCACTGTTCCCGGGGAGGCTCCTGTGTTGTCTCTTCTATGAACCAGGTCTTGTCCCCCTGGAGCCTCAAGGGCCCCCAGAGGCAGGTGTGGCTGGAGTCCTCGGTGCCGACAGCTGCGCGGAGCCTGTGACGCTGACATGGCCGCCTGTCCCCCTCCAGCCCTGCGTGTCGCGGGAGGCAGGGGAGACTGTGCCGTGTTGTCGTACTCAGGACTGCCCGCGCGGGGATCACGCTTGGGCTTTCTCTGAGGCTAAGTGCCCTGTCGGTGAGTAAACGTTCCCAGGGGAGGCATCTGTCTTGCTTATCGGGGCTGGGGCTCACGGACGTGTCCGTCCTGGGTGCCTGAGCTGTAAACCTCGGTAGGTGGACGGGAGAAGCGAGCCCTTCGCCATCTGTGCACTTTGTCGCCGTCACCCATGGAAGCGGTGGTTTTTAACCCCTGAGGACTCCCCTGGGGCTGCAAGGGAAAACAGACTCCGGGGAGCACCGTGGAGCTGTGCCAGGGTTTCCTGACATCTGGAATTGTCCCGCGGAACGTGATGGGAATCCATGTTCCCGGTAACATTCGTGGGTCCCAGAACCCCTGGTGCAGTTCCCGGGAGGCGGGGCCGGGGGGGGGGGGCAGCCATTCCACAGGTTGGGGGTGAGATCCCACAAGGTCCCGCCTGGAACTGGACAGGGAAGCCAGGAGGACCAGGCCCGGGACCGTGGCAGGCGCGAAGGGTCAGGGCGCGTGCGGAGGGAGCCAATGGATGTGTCTCTCTCACATCGATGTTTCTCTCTCTGTGTCTCTCCCCCTCGCTTCCACTCTCTCTAAAAATTAGTGGGAAAATATCCTCAGGGGAGGATTAACCAAAAAAAAAAATTTTTCCCCCAGTTGCTTCACAGTGCTCACTGAAAGGGACCCCATTAAGGCCATCAGCTCATCACAGACTGCCCCGCCTCTCCCCAGCCCACCGAGAGCCACACACTTGCCCACGCGACGAGACGTGGACCGCAGTGTGGTCTGCGTTCTGGTGTCCAAAAGCAACAGTAACGAGAGCCCGCAGGTCAGGGAGAGGGACCTGTGAGTGACCTCTACGGGCCAGAAGTGGCCCCAGAGGAAAGGGACGCTGCTCTTCTGTGCCCACCGCTGGGCTCACAGGTGCAGGCGCCCCACAAGCTCATGTGGTGGGGGCTGGAGGAATCTGGGGGAGAAGGGCCCCCAGGAGTAAGGCCTTTGGTAGGAGAGGCCAGGTTCCGGTGGGGAGACCCAGACCTCGGGCAGCAGGGTCCCGGATAGCTGCCTCCGTGGTCCTGAGAACCCCCTACCCAAGACCGCCGTGGGGCCTCAGGCTAGGTCAGGCGCCTCTCCTGGGTCCCCGCCGCCCCGGGCATCCCCTCCATGACCCCAACTCCAGGGTTCCACGTTCTCGCCCATCTTCTGAGTCCCTTCCCAGGCTGGGGGCTCCGTGGGCACCCCAGGGCCCCACGTGGACGTGCTCAGGATCATGGCTGAGTGAACGAAAGAGGAAGAGAAGGGTTTTTTTCAGATCTTTGGAGGCTGGGGATGAGGACCAGGCCTGGATGGAGGAGGAGGAGACAGAAGGAGGGGGCCTCCTCCTCTGCCCCCCGCAGGCTCCCTCAGCCCCGAGCGGGTGGGCCCCAGCGAGGAAGCCGGCAGACAGCAGCGTCCGGACTGCCGGGAGCCGTGACTCAGCGGCCATCTGTTATCTAATGAGAAAATGACAAGCCAATTGGCGTGTTCCCCCTTCTCTTTAATGTGGCAGATCGAGAAATGTGACTTTCCTGATCTCTGTTTTAATGATTCTGACTTGCTCACTCTTAATTCTCTTAATCCAGCGGCAGCTAACGCTGTGATTTGCCCAGGAATTCCTACGGGGCTTCTTTGGATTTTGCTTGGGGGGGGGGGTTCTGGGGGGTAGGAGGGTTTTGCCAGATTTCACCCTTCCTGACTGCCTCTGGAAGGGGCCAGTCCAATCCCGGATTCACTGCCTGAATCACAGAGAAGTGGAGCCTCCCAACGCCCCCCAAACCCTGCCCACTTCAGAGAGGACAGGCCCCCGTGGACGGTGACAAGTGGCCTTGCAGTGGGATGAAGCCTAAGGCCGCACCAACCAGGCAGGCGGGTCCCTCTCCCTCTCAGGCCTGGGGTCGGGGCTGCAGAAGGAAGGAGCCTGCTGGTCCCTGAGGGCCCCCCTGTGGGCGCGACCCTGAGACTGGACCCTGCAGTCTGGGCTTCTGGGTTTTCTAGTGGTTTGGACAAGCACCACGCTCCGAGCTTTGCGATCTGACCCTGCCTCCAGCACTCAGCCCTAACCTGACCTCAGGCAAGTCCCCCAGAGTGGAACCCCACCTTCCTCACTGAGCCCTGAGGCATGGGCACAGTCTGGGGTGGCGGGGAGAGAAAGCCGCACCCAGGAGAGGTCACCGTTACACACTCCTCCTGCCCTGGCTCCCTCAGAAGGTGTTTTTTTTCATTTAAATGCTTTATTGTTTAAGTATCACATGTCTCCTTTCCCCGCACTGACCCCTCCCCTGCAGAAGTGTTGCAGTAGCTTCAAGCTCAGGAGACCCCGGGCACAGTGAGAAGACTGGGTTCTGGGCTGAAACAAGCCAGGGTTTGCATCTGTTTACCGGCCGTGTGACTCCGGGCGAGAGACCCCTCTGAGACTCAGTTTCCCCACCTGTTCAGGGCTGAGAGGCCCACTCACCACGGCATGTGGAGTCGGTGAGATCCCACGGGCCAAGCAAAGGCGAAAAGCCAGGGGCTACTGTGTCTGGACTGCGTTTTCCTCATTGGCAACAAGTTCAGCCCCAGTGCCCAGGTGCCGTGCCCACGGCTCCCCGCACGGAGCCACCAGCCCCAACCTGGACGGAGGGCCCGTGGGGGCAGGGGGGCTGCGATCTGGCCACGTGCTCTGCCTCCCGTCCAAAAGCCCTGCTCACGTGACCACCACCATCGGCGGTGGATTGATGAAATTAAGCACAGATGGCTACTTTGTTGCTGTTCTTTGAACTGACAGCTGCTGGTATAAAAATAAATTAAATTAAATTTCACATAAGTCAGACTTTTCTGTATTTTTTTTTTTTAATGAACTAAGTTTTTTCTGTGTTGTTGTCGTTAAATTGTTTTCTTTCTTTCTAACATACGGAGACAGAGAAAACTCCAGGGCAGCAGAAACAAGAATTCAAAAAAAAAAAAGAACTCGAAGGCGACCCTGCTTTTGGAGAAAGTCCCAGCCCCCCTTCCCGAAGCCCCGCTCCGCTCCCGGAAGCTTTGGAAGGCCACGGAGCTGCAGGGGGCAAAGAATCTTGGCTCCTTTGCCTTAAGGGCCAGGGAGTCGAATGTTGCTGGGTTGGGGCCAGGTTCGGCCACCAGCGACCGTGTCCTTGGGCCAGTCATTGTCCCGGGAGTGAGGATGGGAGTAACAGTGCCGGCTCGGAGCGCCCAGGTGGGCAGGGGTCCTCAGCTTGTGAGCTGCCCGAGGCTGAGCCCGCAGAGCATCCTCACCCCCATGGACGGATTATTATGAAGATTAAACCGAGAGTAGCTGGAAGGATGCCTCCAGCCCCACCTGGCTCCCAGCAGGCTCTCAAAACCCAGCCTGCGGCCTCCCCCACCCACTCAGCCCCTCCTGCCGGCCTTCCCACACTCCGCTCTGGGTGCGTTCTGGGCTCAGCCACGTGCACACACAGGAGAAGGAGGGGGCGTTGCTTGGTCTGGAGCAGGCAGCCCCATCCCCTGCCCCAGGGTGTCTGTTCCCTCCCTGTGGCTACATCCGTAGACAGCCCACCTCCTGGTCACGGCTGACAGGCCCCGGTGAGCGCCGGCCCAGGCAGCCACCCCCTGAAGAGTGGTCCCACTCCTCGGACTCAGAACCCACTTCCGTCCCCTTGGGCAGAGGAGGAGGAGGAACTGGAGCCCCTTTCAGGGTTCCTGGGCCCCAGGCTCGGGCGACTCTGGGGAACGAGGGGGGGAGGCCAAGGAGCAGGCCCTAGACACGCTGTCGCTGGAGGCCTGTAAGCCGGCTCATTAGAAAAATGACGCCACACCACCATGCACCGCAGTTCTCGGAGCCGCTCTGCCTAGTTTCATGCAAAGCGAGAAACAGAAATTGCTCTTGTTGGAGAGATGCTCACGCCTGCCTGCCAGCCGCCAGCAAGGTGGCCCCGAGAAGCCCTGAGTGCACCCCCTACAGCCCATCACCACTCCAAATCCCACTCTCTCTGCCCCAAGGGCCTGCACTAGTCAGAGAAACATCTGATAGAACTTTCTGCCAAAGGTCAAAAAATACTCTGTACTTCGCTGTCCCCTACGGCAGTCGCCAGCCACATGGCTTATTCATTTACCAGCCACTGGGAAGGCCGCTACTCCAGCTGAGGAAGGGAGCACTTTAAATTGTATTGGATTTTAATGCAAATAGCCACAAAATGGGACCATGAGTCTTTACCTCCCAGGGATCTTGAAGGGTGAGTGAGACCAGTGGATTTAAGGAAATGTCATCAACTAAACACTGGGGAAGAAACGCAAAGGATTCCTTTCAGCAGCCGTTGGTTCGTTTCTTTCACCCCAACTAGCAAGTCCCTACGAGGTCCTGGGCACTCCCAGGGCACAAGGGGGAAGACTCTGGGGGTGCAATCACCCCAAAGAGAAAAGGGCAGTCCAGTCCGTGAGCGCAAAGATGTGGGTTCTATTCCTTGAAGAACAGCAGCTCCGGAGCGGCCCAGGTGGTCCTTGGTAGGCAACTTGAGCGGGGCCTTTTCTCACCCCCTGACATTACCTTACCCCAGAGGTGGGCCACCGGGGCCCAAGCCGGAGGCCTCGGCTGCTGCCCAGCCTTTGGGGAACCGTGATGGAGGCACAGGGTGCACCCGACTCTCACGACAACACATTATCAGCAAGAAATGCAACTGACGGATTCCTTCCGCGGGGTCCTGACCCAGCCCCAGGTGCTTTCCAATCAGGTGCTTTCTTTTCCCTCCATGGAGAGAGGAGGCCGAGTGTGAAACAGCTCTGCTAGCTCTCTGCGGGTCCCAACCTGAGCACGCGTTTCTCTTCTCTTGGCTTGGCTTCCAATTTCTATGAAGCAGAACTTGAATCAGGTGAGCTTTCTGCTATGTAGCAGCTGTGACTTTCTCCAGTTCTAAAAACAACAACAGTATCACAACGGGAGTAGTGATGATGATGATGGTGATGGTGATGGTGATGATGGTGATGGTGATGATGGTGATGGTGATGACGGTGGTGGTGAGTACCGTGGGAGGAGTGTTTACTTGTTGCCAGATCCGAGGCTAATCGCTTCACAGGTATGTTTTAACTCCCATCCATGAGGCAGGCCGATCACTCCCTTTTATAGGTGAGGAAGCCGGGCTGGGAGAGGGGAGCGGATGCCCCAACGCACAGAGCCCACCAGTGCAGCCAGCGGACACTCCAAACCTACCCACAGTGTCATGTCACCAGCCCCGTCTTCTCGCCTCACAGGGATTGGAGGGCCTGAGAGATTGTCCCGCATGGAGTCCCATGTCAGACCTGCAGGCAGCATCTGATCCCAGACCCTCAGTCAAAGGTGGGGAGTAGTGAGTGGTACCTCAGACGACTCAGGGGAGAGGAGAGAGAGGTTTCTGTCACTGTAATGTGCTGATCTTGGTTCCTGGCTGATCTGGGCAGGCCTGTGGTATGGAGGGAGCCCCTGGAGCTAGCTGACAGACAGACAGACAGACAGACAGACAGACCTATGGGAAATTCCTGCTGTGCTGTTGCTCTCTGAGCAACCTTAGCTGAGGCTCCCCAGTTCTCCGAGTCTGTCTTTCCATCTGAAAATGGGGTGCCCATGCTCCCTCCCGCTGAGGGGACCATGGCTACAAGGCTGGCACGGGGACCCAGCAGTCCAGGCCTGGCTCTGGGTGCACCCCGGGTGCCCGGTCCAAGGACTGATGACCGCCGTCCTCTCAGCGCATGTGCACACATGCTCTTGAGGCTCAGAGTCCTGGTGGGGGAGGGCTGCCTGCTGCTAAGGCAGGCCCTGGGGAAAGGCATGCAGCCCTGAACCCACTCAGGCCCCTCCCCCTGGGCCGTCTTCAGGGCTCAGTCCCAGTCCCAAGGCCAGGAGAGCCTGGCAGCGCCCGCCCCAGTAGCACCAGGAGAGGAGGATTTCAAGTAAATTCAAAACAAGCATGTGTGTTTCCCCTTTGCCCATCTGTGGCAGGTTCTCGAGGCGCCAGCTCTTGGAGGCGGAAGGAACAAGGCGGAAGTAGAATGGCTCTTGGAAAAGCTGGAAAAATTAGCAATTAGGAGGGGAAATTGTAATGAGAAAATGAGCCTTAATAAGGCAAACACAATACTGCCGAGGCTTTTTTTCTTGCGCTCTCGCCGAAAACAAGCGGTGACTTCATGTCTGGGTTTCTCTGCTTTCCTGTGGCAGAGCCAACTGAGAAAGAGCCGGAGAAAAATGTCTCCATTGTCCCTAGACAGGGTCCCTGGCATCCGGGAAAGAAAAGGCCTGCTCCAACGGGATGAGCAGGGGAGCTGAACCCGCTGCTTCTGTGGGCACCCACTCTGCTCTGGGCCCCGCCCACTGCACACAGACCCTGCCAGTCAGCATGGGCTAGGTCACGCTGCGGTAACAACCCGGCTCTCAGAGCCTGCACACAACACAACTCCATCAATCTGGGCTTCTTGATGTCCCGCACTCATTTCACACTCAGCCAACATTGCTGGAGCACGGGCTCTGCGCTAGGCCCTGGGGACACTGGGCACGGGCTCTGCGCTAGGCCCTGGGAACACTGGGCTGAGTAAAGCACACCCAGTCCCTGCCGCTGTGGAGGTCACGTTCTAGACAACAAGCAAGTGCATCAACAAGACAATGACTGATTATGAGCCCCAGAAGGAAAGCAGCAGACCTATGAGGCGAGCTGGCTGAGTGAGCAGATGAATGGATGAGTACACACATGAGTAAATGAATGTTTTCCACCCTGACCCCTCAAGGCCCGCCTCAAGGGCCCTCGGTTCCAATATCCCTGGGCCTTATGCATTAATATCTTTAAGGGCCAGCAGACAGTCACCCTCAATTCGGAGACACTGCCTCTTTTATAAATATTGACTAGAGGCCCAGTGCATGAAATTCGTGCATGGCAGGGGGAGTCCCTCGGCCCAGCCTGCACCCTCTCCAATCTGGGACATCCCTCTCACAATCAGGACTGCTGGCTCTCAACTGCTCGCCTGCCTGCCTGCCAGATTGCCCCTAACTGCTTCTACCTGCCACCCTGATCACCCCCTAACTGCTCCCCTGCCAACCCGATTGCCCCTAACTGCCCTCCCCTG